CTCCGCGCCCCGGCTCCCCGGCCCCCAGCCTGGCCCGGCCTTCCGCGTGGGCCTTACCTGCCCCCCAGCAGCGCCGCAGACCTACGGAAGGAGGCCAGAATGGATCCACTCCAGAGAGCCATGTCAAACGGCGGGTCACGCGGGCCCCTCAGGGCCCGAGGCCGGCACAGTTCCGGGACAAAGCCTTCTGGGAGATGTAGTTTCACCTTCCCAGATTGCCGCCGGGCAATCTGGGAGCTGAAGTTCCACAGCTGCCCATTCCCTCCGTCACAGCTCGCGCGTAGTGCCCTCCATGGACTGCAGTTCTCCTGACGACCAGCAGGGGGCGGCGGGTGAGTGGCGCCTATTCGCCGCAGCCTGCGCGTGCGTGGGCAGCGACGTGTCCCGCGGCAGCTGGGAGTTGTAGTCCCTTCGGTCGACCGCCGTGGGAGGCTCAGGGTGGCGGCGGCGCGGCTGGCGGCAGTCACCGGAAGTGGCTTCTCGCCAGCCAGCCGCAGCCGGGCAGGTGGCTCGCAGCTGCCGGGCGGCCGGGCTGCGGACACGGCCAAGTCTCCTCCCCTTGGCCGGCCACCAGGAGGCCGGAGGTTGGAGCTGGTGGGGTGTCCTTGAGGGAGTCCAAGTCCTTTCCCCCTCTTTTCTTCCTTCCTCCTCCCCCTCTCTCCCCCCTCTCTTCCCCCTCCCCTCCTTTCCTCTCCCTCGCTCCTCCCCCTCCCCTCCTCGTCCTCCTCCTTTCTTTTCCTTCTTTTTTCTTCTTCCTTTGCTGGGGCTGGAAATCAAGGCCTGGGTGCTGTCCCCCATCACCGCGCCACACCGCCACTAACGGCTTTCAGTGTCCCTTTGTCTCATGGGCTTTCCTGCCCAGGCCAGAGCCCAGTCTCCTGAGCGGCCAGGATTACAGGTGTTCAGTTGTAAGTCTGTAAAACTTACAGATGCAGCTTGCTCTGGGCTATTTTGTCTCCCAGTCGAGCCCTGGAGGAGTTTTTCAGAGTTCCTCTGCAAGCATGCGGAACTCTCTAAGTGTTCTAAATGTCAGCCACCCTCTCCTCACCACCCAGTCTCCTTCCGTCCTTTAGAACCTCCTCCCAACCCTGCCCCTCCCTGGGCTGACCGCAGGGTGGGCCTCCCTTCAGACTTCCAGACAGCTTGGAGTGGGGCAGTTCCAGATGGGGGGAAAGACCAGGCTGGAAGCTGGGCGCCCCTGTCACATCTTAGTGTGGGGCTGGCCTAGGAGCCCTGGGAACATTCGCCGAATGTGTGGAGCACCCTGAGTACAACCCACCACCCTCTGGCCCACTCGGTGCCCCAGGAGGCTACAGATTCAGCAAATGGTGGCTGCTTGGATGGAATCCAGCTTTAGCAGCAAAGGTCAGGCAATGAGAATAGGCAGGCAGCAAGGAGCTATTCTCTCGTCCGCTGATGCCCACTGAGCAGTCAGCCACCAACACAGCGACCCCGCGCGTGCCCAGAGCGGGACAGTGCGGCGACCCCGCGCGTGCCCTGAGCGGGACAGTGCGGCGACCCCGCGCGTGCCCTGAGCGGGACAGTGCGGCGACTCCTGAGCGGGACGGTGCGGCGACTCCTGAGCGGGACGGTGCGGCGACTCCTGAGCGGGACAGTGCGGCGACCCCACGCGTGCCCTGAGCGGGACAGTGCGGCGACCCCACGCGTGCCCTGAGCGGGACAGTGCGGCGACCCCACGCGTGCCCTGAGCGGGACGGTGCGGCGACTCCCAGGGCCGTGCCCGCGGCTTGGGGAAGAGGTTTGGCCGAGGTCGGGGCAGAGCTGGCTCCCTGCTCTCCCTGGAGGGTGGAGGGAGTCTGCTTGTGAATGGCGGTTCCGTAGCACCCCATTTCCAGGACTTTCTATTTGAATAACAATCCCCTGGACTCCGCAGCTTTGGGCTCAAGTCCTCACCTTGCCTCATCGCGGTGAGCTTCAGTTTTCCTACCTGAACTCGCAAAGGTCTGGGTGCCTGTGTTTTTACTGTGGGAAGGGGGTCAGGGCGGTCAGGGCCGCGGCCTCCGCGGGCTGCGAGGCCTTGGCGCAGGCCCAGGCCCGGTCCCCACCCCCATCTCCCTAAGCCTTCGAGGGGGCGGGGCTGGGGCCCACAGAGCCCGCCCTCGTCCCCGGGCTCGGATTCTGGTTGGACAACTATCTAGGGCAAGCCAGTTCTCAGCTGTGATAGGCTAAAATGTCCGTCTGTCAGGCAGCGGCCCCGCCCCTCTGGAGGGATTTAAAGGGCTGCTGGTTCCGACGCTGCGGGATGGCGCCGCGCTGACGGCTCGGTGTCAGCGCTCGCCCCGTCCGACCCCCGCCACCATGTAAGCGGTGCCCGCCGGCCGACGCCTCTCCGCGCGGGTCCCCTGCGCCCTGCCCCGGGCCCGGGCCCCTCCATGAGGTAGGTGAGCGGGAGCGGGCCGGGGAACCGGAACGTCGGGGCTCCCGGGCCCCAGCCTCAGGCCGGGTCAGTCCACAAAGCCCGCGTCGGACTCCTAGGAAGCCACGGAGCCCCAGTGCCCATCCTCATTGTGGGATCTCAGGCGTTCGGAGGCCGGGGTCGGCCCGGGTACGGGGGAGACACCAGGTGGGGCCCGGCCGCCTCCCCCGCAGCCGGCCTCCTCCCCGGCCCGCCGGGCCTCCTTCCCGGTGCCCTCGGGCCCCTGCAGCAGCCGGGTCTTTAGCGGGCACCACCATGGCGGGAGGGAGAATGAGATGGGCATAATCCCCAGGTCTGAGACAATGGGGGTGTGCTACCTATCCCCCCTGAGTTATGTAACCGCCTGGGGTTGCTATGGACACGATGGGGGAGGTCAGGGAATGGATGCCCCCCCGAGGACAGGCGAGGCCTGCCTCCATCCCACCCCCAGCCTCTCATAACCTAGGCCGCTAAGGGGTGGTGGTGCAGAAGGTAGCCTCCTCAGGGAGGTTCTGGGCCTCATTAGGCCCTTGGGTGAGGGACGGGGTGAGGGACGCCGGCCGGGCAGGTGGGTTAGGCCTTCTGCAGCCCTGTCCTCAGCCCTCTTTCCAGAGCCTCAGCCTCATTAGTCAGGGTGACAGATGCCGGGAGCAGGGGCTGACAGGGGCTTACTTGTTCCCGTTAAAAGGCCCTGGGCTGTGTGTGTGTGGAGGAAGGGGTTAGGAGGCCCAGCCCTGCCGTGTAGCTGTCTCCAGGGCCCGGCCACATCTGGCACTGAAGCCTCCCTGCCTCACGCCATCTTCACATACTCCCTGTGATCACCTGTGCAGCCAGCCCAGGCCATGAAGGGTGCCCACCACCAGCAGGTACTGCCCAGATAGACAGTCCCCAGTGCCTCGGCTGGCTGCCTGTGGCCTGGAAGGAACATCCCCTTAATTGGACCCAGGTTGAGGGAGCGGGTGCTGCAGGTGGAGAACTAACATGTCCACTCCCTCGAGCTGGTCTCTGCCCCTGCTCACAGGACACAACATGCTGACGGGGGTGACCGATGGTTTCTTCTGCTGCCTGCTGGGTGCGCCCCCCAATGCCGTGGGGCCGCTGGACAGCGTGGAGTCCAGCGATGGCTATACCTTTGTGGAGGTCAAGCCTGGTCGTGTGCTGCGGGTGAAGCATGCTGGGCCCGCGCAGGCCCCCACACCACCACCAGCAGCCTTGGAGGGGGCCCATGGGGACAGATCTGGCTTGGTCCGCTGCCAGCGCCGCATCACCGTGTACCGCAACGGGCGGCTGGTTGTGGAGAACCTGGGCCGGGCACCCAGGGCTGACCTCCTTCACGGGCAGAATGGCTCTGGGGAGCCGCCGGCTGCCCTGGAGGTAGAGCTGGCCGACCCGGCCGGCAGCGACGGCCGCTCCAACCCTGGCAGCGCGGGCAGCGGCGGGCGGCGGCGGCGGGCGAGGCGCCCCAAGAGAACCATCCACATTGACTGCGAGAAGCGCATCACCAGCTGCAAGGGCACACAAGCCGACGTGGTGCTGTTCTTCATTCATGGTGTTGGTGGCTCCCTGGCCATCTGGAAGGAACAGCTGGACTTTTTTGTGCGCCTGGGCTACGAGGTGGTGGCACCTGACCTGGCTGGCCACGGAGCCAGCTCTGCGCCCCAGGTGGCCGCGGCCTACACTTTCTACGCCCTGGCCGAGGACATGCGCGCGATCTTCAAGCGCTATGCCAAGAAGCGGAACGTGCTCATCGGGCATTCCTACGGGTAAGAGCCGGGCCCGGGACCGCAGTGGGAGGGGGCTGAGACTGACTGCTGGTGACATTCTTGAAAACTCTCATTGGGCCGGTGGCCTGCCGTGATTCAGCGGCAGAGTACCGTGTGTCCAGCCCTGAAAAGGGTTCTCTTTCTTTTTCTTTCTGCTAGTTCCAAGGCTATGTGCTTACTAGAAAGGCTCTGCTACCCAAGCTACAACCTAGCCAAAAAAATAAAATAAATAAAATAAATAATAATTACTTTTCCCATTGAAATCTACAAGCAGACAAGGAATCCTGCAATAGTGACTACTGCCCCAGTTACCCCAGTTAGTAATATTATTTATAATTATTTTTTGCTGTGTGGCCCAGACTGTCACTATACCCTTCAACGTATTTTGGGGTGCAGGGTGATAGTTTGATGCATGTGTATAGTGGGTCCTGATTAAGTTGGGGTCATAAACATTTCACCCCTTGCAGTTCTTCTTGTAGTCCCAGTTTCTCAGATGGCCAGTGTGGGATAGATTCTTGGCCAGCCTGAGCAGTACAGTAAAAGCTTTGTCTCTTTAAAAACCAAAGTATGTACTTATGTGCACACACAGCTGCATAGTTGTGACTTACTGTCACCCACCATTCTGTTCTGTAGAGAATTCACTGCAGCATTCACTCACTTCCTTTTGGCGTGGGTACTAGGGCTTGAGCTCAGAGTCTTTCCCTGAGTGTTTGCACTCAAGGCTGTCATGCTACTACTTGAGCCACAGCTCCTCTTCTGGCTTTTTGATGGTTCATTAGAGATAAGAATGTCACAGATCGGGCTGGGAAGGTGGCTCAGCGGTAGAGCACTTGCCTTGCATGCATGAGGCCCTGGGTTCGATTCCTCAGCACCACATAAGCAAAAAGAAAAAAGCCGGAAGTGGTGCTGTGGCTCAAGTGGTAGAGCGCTAGCCTTGAGCTGAAGAACTGAGGGACAGCGCCCAGGCCCAGAGTTCAGGCCTTATGACCGGACCCAAAAAAAAAAAAAAAAAGAATGTCACAGACGCCAGGTGCTGGTGGCTCCCGCCTGTCATCCTAGCTACTCAGGAGGCTGAGATCTGAGGATCTTGGTTCAAAGCCAGCCCAGGCAGGAAAGTCTGTGAGACTCATCTCCAATAAACCACTAGAAAACTGGAAGTGGTGCTGTGGTTCAAGTGGTAGAGCACTCGCCTGGAGCTGAAGAGCGCAGAACAGCACCCTAGCCCAGAGTTCAAGCCCCACAACCAACCAAAAAGAAAAAAAAGAATGTCACAAACTTTTCTGTCCAGCTGGCTCAGAACTTCAATCCCCAGATCTCAGCCTCCTCTCCCTGAATAGCTAGGCATGAGCCATCTGTGCCTGGTCTCCCTTTTTTTTCCTTTCTTTTCTTTTTTCTTTTTTTTTTTGTGAGTATGGCCCAGGGAGCGTTAAAGACCTTGAGGTGAGTACAGTTACACATCCTGGATGAGGAGACAAGTTCAGAGGTTCAGCAACTGTATGAGGGCTCACAGCAAGTCCGAGACACAATCATGTTAGCTGGGTTTTGCATGTGTCTGCCTTTACCATAAGGGTCAGCTATCCCCCACCCCTCCCCTCACTCCCTGCCCTCCTTCCCTTCCCTCTGCCATTCTGCTGGGCACAGAACTCAGGTCTTTGCATTTGCTGGGCAATGGCTTCACCACTGAGTACCATCTCAGCCCCAGCGTGTTTGTCTAACCAAGTTGTTCGCCAAACCTTTGATAATAAAAAAATTCTTACCCTTTGTGGGAGATGGGGTAGGGAGTGTGTTGGGCCACCCAACATATGGTAACATTAGGTGTCTGGGCTGGGAGCTGGCTGGATGGTGCTTGACTTTCACCCCAGTTCTGGAAGGCTGAGGCCACGTAGGCAGATCTTGTGTCAGCCAGGTGTTGATGGCTCTGGCCTGTGGTCCTGTTACTCAGGGGATTGAGATCTGAGGGCCAAGACTTGAAGCCAGCCTGACAGAAAAGTCAAAAGGTCTCTTACCTCTAATTCACCAGCAAACCCTGACTGGAGGTGTGGGTCAAATGGTGAAGGGCTAGTTAGGAAAAACCCAGACAGGAGCTTAAGGCCCTGAATTCAAGCCCTAGTACCCATACAAAATAAAGGAAGACCCTGTCTCACAATGAAACCCAACCTGTAAGACCACAGTTGTGGGTAGTCAGAAGACACCCCACCCTCAGCCCATCAGATGCTTGCGACCTAGAGGGAGGAGTTTTTAGCTCCAAGGGCCTGTTGGAGGGGAGGGAAAGGCATTGGTCCAGCATCACCTGTGGTGTCTGACCACCTCCCCTGACCTTGTGTCCCTGGGCAGCGTCTCTTTCTGCACATTCCTGGCTCATGAGTACCCAGATCTGGTACACAAAGTGATCATGATCAATGGCGGGGGCCCCACGGCCCTGGAGCCCAGCATCTGCTCCATCTTCAACATGCCCAGCTGCGTGCTGCACTGCCTATCACCCTGCCTGGCTTGGAGCTTCCTCAAGTGAGTACTCCACTGCCGTCCAAGGACCGAGTTCAGGACTGAGCAGTCTCCCGAGCTCTGTGCGTGTCGGTGTGTGTGTGTGGGGGGGGTGCTGTGGTTGGTGGCACTGCGGCTGGTGGTAGTGTAAGGGGACATCTTGGCCTGTCTGGCATAAGCGGCTTCAGCAGTATCTTTCCATCGCCAGGGCTGGTTTTGCCCGCCAAGGGGCCAAAGAGAAGCAGCTACTGAAAGAGGGAAATGCATTCAACGTGTCATCCTTTGTCCTGCGGGCCATGATGAGTGGCCAGTACTGGCCTGAGGGTGACGAAGTCTACCATGCTGAGCTCACAGTCCCCGTCCTGCTTGTCCATGGCATGCATGACAAGTTCGTGCCCGTGGAGGAAGACCAGCGCATGGCTGAGGTAGGAGGAGGCACCGGGCCTCGCTCTCAGGCCCTAGGGCTTGGCCTCCAGATATGTGTGGTTCCTGTACCCAGAGGGCTTCAGCGTGGGGGGTGGCCCGGAAGTGCTGTGGTTTATGGCTGGGGTTGATCTCTAGACTGTTTCTGGGTGGGCTAGGTCCATCCGTATGGCTCTAGTTTGAACTCTGTCATCTTGGGAAGCGTAAGATCCAGAGTCAAAGGTACAATCAAGAAAGCGGTGCTTCCCTGGTCAGATGTGAATAGCTGTACACTGTCCCAGCTCAGGGGAGCAGATTTCACAGCTGAGCATTTATAGAAAGGACTAAGTAACACCTCTAGCTCTGAGAGAGGCGGGACACAAGAGCTTCAGGGATTCTCAGCGTCCCGGATGTCTGCTGTAAGTGGTTCTGCTAGCCAGGAGACATTTCCTGGTGTCTCTTCGGTGGGTGGAGGCCAGAGGTGCTGCTCAGCACCTCACAGCGCCCAGGATGCCCCACCTCAGCGACCCATCCCCAAGTTTCTGTGTCCTCAGCATGACAAGCTTGTCTGTCAGTCTGAGCTTCCCATCAGTGGGTGACTTTGCTCTCTGGGACATGTGGCAATGTTTTTTTTTTTTTTGGGGGGGGGTTGATTACTTTAGCTACTGACATCTAATAGGCCAAGGCCAGGGTGCTGTGAACCCTCCTGCAGTGCACAGGACAGATCCCACCCAGAAGTTGAGACAGGCTGAGTCTGAGAAATCCTCCTGTGGGCAAAGGCAGAGTACAGGTGTACCTATGGGCTTCTGCACGGTGTGGGGCCTCCCCCCTCCTCTTCCCTTCCTCCCCTCCCTCCTCCTCCTCCCATCGTCCTCCTCCTCCTCCCTCCTCCCCCTCCCTCCTCTTCCTCTCTCTTCTCCCTACCTCCTCCTCCCCTCCCCTTCCCTTCCCCCTCTCTCTCCTCCTCCCCTCCCTTCCTCCTCCCCCTTCCCCCTCCCTCTCCTGGGGGCGGCCTCAGCTGCCGGTGGGTGGGCAGACCCGGGAGGCCCCAGGTGCCGCCCTGAGCCCTGCCTGCGCCTGCGCAGATCCTGCTCCTGGCCTTCCTGAAGCTGATCGACGAAGGCAGCCACATGGTGATGCTGGAGTGCCCGGACACGGTCAACACGCTGCTGCACGAGTTCCTGCTGTGGGAGCCCGAGCCCTCGCCCAGGGCGCTGGCCGAGCCGCCGCCCGAGCCCGCCCAGGAGAAGTAGCCCGGGGCCAGCGGGGCATCTCGGTGAGCAGAGCCTGGCCCGGCGGACGGGCCGAGCCGGGTCTGCAGCCGCAGCGCGGGGCAGGGCAGCCCGGCACCCGGGTGGGCGGGGCCAGGCAGGGACACGCCCCAGGCAGACATTCCCCTCAGTGGCTGGGGACAGGCCCATAGATCCGACCACACCCCAATGGGTGTGGCCACGCCAGGGGCAAACCCGCAGGTAGGCGGAGCCAGCAGGCCACGCCCCCAGCCCGGCAGGGTGGGGCCTCTGGGAGCTGGGGTCAGCCAAGACCTCTGGGAAGGACAGCCTTGTACAGAACCCTCCGCACCCCCTCGCCACGGCCGAGGCCGGCCCACCCCACGCTGTCTTTGGTGTCACCCTTGGGGTCTCCTCCCATTGCCTGCGACCCCACCCGCCCCCAATTCCTTGGCGCTGGGAACTGTTGTTATCCTGGGGGGCCCTGGGGAAGGGTCTGGCACCACCGAACCTGCACATCTCAAGTTGTAACTCAATAAAAAGAAGTGACAATCGGAGCCTCCAGGCCTGTGCTGGGTGACCTCAGGAAAGGGTCTTCACACCCCCCCCCCCTTCCAGCGTTCTCTTCCCTTCTGCAGCCTGGGCTGTCTGCTCCCTCCCCTCAGCTGGCCTGGCCTGGGCAGGGTTCCTGTGTCCAGGGTGAGCTTCCGGGCCCTAGCCCAGGGGATGCACCAGAGATGAGGAGCTTTGTCCTGTTGCACACACCAGGCCCTGGAGGCTCAGCAAGACCGGCAGCCAGCCCAGGCCCAGTCCAGAGTCTGCACCCCTGATCACCAGACTACCACTCTCCACATGCTACCTGCATCCTGATCACCAGACCACCACTCTCTCCACATGCTACCTGCACCCCTGATCACCAGACCACCACTCTCCACATGCTACCTGCATCCTGATCACCAGACCACCACTCTCCACATGCTACCTGCATCCTGATCACCAGACCACCACTCTCTCTACATGCTACCTGCACCCTGATCACCAGACCACCATTCTCTCCACATGCTACCTGCACCCTGATCACCAGACTACCACTCTCCACATGCTACCTGCACCCTGATCACCAGACCACCACTCTCTCCACATGCTACCTGCACCCCTGATCACCAGACCACCATTCTCTCCACATGCTACCTGCATCCGATCACCAGACCACCATTCTCTCCACATGCTACCTGCATCCTGATCACCAGACCACCACTCTCCACATGCTACCTGCATCCTGATCACCAGACCACCACTCTCCACATGCTACCTGCATCCTGATCACCAGACCACCACTCTCTCTACATGCTACCTGCACCCTGATCACCAGACCACCATTCTCTCCACATGCTACCTGCACCCTGATCACCAGACCACCATTCTCTCCACATGCTACCTGCATCCTGATCACCAGACCACCATTCTCTCCACATGCTACCTGCACCCTGATCACCAGACCACCATTCTCTCCACATGCTACCTGCATCCTGATCACCAGACCACCATTCTCTCCACATGCTACCTGCATCCTGATCACCAGACCACCATTCTCTCCACATGCTACCTGGGCACAGCCCACCTCTGGTTCCCTGAGATCTGAAGAGGGTGAGGAGGAAGGAGGAAGACCGTGTGAGGCAGGCTCACCCAAGTCCCCAAACAAAACAAGCAACTTGCCCAGCTCCTTCCCCCTCTTCATGCTCTCTACTTGTATCTCCCTGTTTCTTCTCCCTTCTGGTTCCTGGAGTTTCACTCTCTATCCCTGCTCCTGCAGCCCTCCTCCACCCCTCCCAGAGCCCATGCCATCTCTCTGCCCACCCTCCCCAGTCTTTTTTACTCTTCCCCAGTCTTACAAATCCACTTGGTTTTCCATGTTTTTCAGCAAGATGTAAGAATCAGTAAACTTTCAATATATCAACAATGGAGATGTCTAATCCTGGAACTCAGGGCCAGGGCCAGGGCCCTATCCCTGAGCCTCTTTGTGCCCAAGACTAGCACTTGATCATTTGAGTCACAGCTCCACGTGGGGCTTAAACTCTGGGCCTGAGCACTGTCCCTCAGCTCTTCAGCTTAAGGCTAGCGCTCTACCCCTTGAGCTACAGCGCCACTTCTGGTTTTCTGGTGGTTTATTGGAGATGACTCTTACGGAGGGCTGGGAAGGTGGTTCAGTGGTAGAGTGCTTGCCTTGCATGCTTGAGGCCCTGGGTTCAATTCCTCAGCACCACATAAGCAAAAAGGAAAAAGCCGAAGTGGTGCTGTGGCTCAGGTGGTAGAGCACTAGCCTTGAGCTGAAGAGCTGAGAGACAGCATCCAGGCCCAGAGTTCAGGCCCACTACCGGCCCCCTCCCCCCCAAAAAAAAGTCTCATGGACTTTCCTGCCCGGGCTGGCTTTGAACTGTGAGCCTCAGATCTCAGCCTCCTGAGTAGCTAGGATGACAGGCATGAGACACTGGCCCTGGCACCACTTGACTGAAGATGAAGATGAGTGAATCACCAACACCACTGGGTGCTTTGTATGTGGGAGTACCATGGTGTCCAAACCTCGATGGGGAATGCACCACACAGCAAGATTTCCACTGGGCATCTTACTCCTGGAAGAGCTGTTTCCAATGGTGCTTTTATTGCTAGTTTTAAGTGCAACTATTAGTGAGAGAATGTGAGATATTGGAATACTGGGCAGTGCCAGGGTTCACCCCTAAGCTACGTCTAGACATCTCTATCTAGCTTATAGTGAGTCCTTCCTCTGCAAATGGCAAGATGTTGTTTTGGAAGAAGTACAGCTAAGTTAGATGGGACCATGAAGGCTCAGGAAGGTGCCCCTGAGTGTGGTTGAAGTTGCTTTATAAAGATCTACTTAGGCCACCCAGGAATGCAATGTTTCTATCAGTCTTGGGCCAAGGAACATTGATTTTGATGTTTTTTTGCTTCATTGCTGGCCTGTCTTGTGCATGTTCTCTGCAGGGACCTCTGGAAATTCCGGCCTGATGCCTGGGCTGAGATGGACAGGACATGTAGAGGTGTGAAGCACGCATCTAATGTTTGGAATGGAAAGATTTCATCTGCCATTCCCTTTGGTCCTGGCAGGATCTTGGGGTGTGGAGAATCAACCCTGTCAACCACTAACCCTTTCAGGAACAAGTACAAGTTTCAGTATCCATGCCACAGGAGCCACACCCCCATCACGTCACAACCGTCCTTGGTGGGTGTGTCCAGGTGCTAGCGCTTGAACTCAGGGCCTCTTGCTGTCCCTTGTCTTTTTCACTCATCTGGTGCTGTATCACTTGAACCTTGCTGCTACTTTTAGCTCCCTGCTGGTTGACTGGACACGAGTCCATATCTCAGACTGAGTAGCTATGAAGGGTGAGTCTCCGGAGTAGCTAGGATAACAGGCATGAGCCACCAGGGCAGGCCTTAGCTGTACTTCCATTCAGCTCTGCATTTTAACCAGCATTTGGTTGCAGCAAATGCACTCTATGCTTGGCCTCCTTTTGCAGTCTTCATGATGCTGTGATACCTGTTCAGAAGGTCAGGTCTGCTGTGCTGTACTCACTGGAGGGTGAGGGTCAGGGCCGGTGGTAGGGCCTGGTCACTGCATTTCACACTGTCCTACCCACTCAGCTCCTCCAGAGCCCACCAGCTCCCCTTCCACCTGCATCACCAGCTGATCACCATCATGTCTTTATTGAGTCCCCTGAAGGACCCCTGCTAGGGCCCACACACAGCCCATACTGGCTCAGTCCCAAACAGGACCAGAGTGACCTCCGCCTGTGCCTGGGAGGTGACAGCAGGCCATCCAGGAAGACAAGCAGTGAGTGCTCCTTCCAGTTCCTCCCACGACGGGGAACTCAGGGCCACGCGTTGGCCTGTGTGTGGTGGGGTGGGATGTCTTTGGCCCCAGACGTCTGCACGCCCACTCTCCTCTGGGCTGCCAAGGGTGTAGGGTTAGCCATAGGCCTGGATGTCCAGAGGCCGCAGCTCTCGCTCCCCTTCAGCAAGGAAGACCAGGAGGGCACGATGCAGCAGGTGAACCCCCAGGCGCCGGCGCCGAGAAGGTGGCCAGCTCGCCACCACTCCATAGTAGTGCCCTTGTTTCTGGTTGGTCAGCCTCTGGATTCCTGGAGACAGGGGGAGGGGGGTCACAGGGGTCACCTGGGGGTCTCTACCAGCAAAAAAATGTGACAGGAAACATACTGTGGATGCCTTTAAGTGAAGACAAACAGGGAGCAGCTTACGTGGAGGCACAGGCACATTGCGGTGCTCAGCGACTGCTTTACTGACTGTGTAGATGAGCAACTCACAGCCCTGACAGGGGAGGGGGTGAGGGAAGGGCACATGAAATGCTCTTCCTGTGACCTTCGCCCCACAGGCCAGGCACCCACCTAGGGCATCCAGGAGACACGCCTCTCTCGTGTACGCCTCCACAGCCACCACGTGCTGGAAGCAGTGCAGGGAGACGACACCGCGGCCACTGTCCCAGATGTCCAGGATCTGCCTCACCTTGGGGCAGGCCTAGGGGCCGGGGCAGGGTCAGGGTCACAGGTTGGTTCCCCAAAGCCTGCCCAAGCCTGGCTGCCTGAGCCAGACCCTCATCCTTCTTCTCACTTGTTTTCTTGGCTGCCCTCGATACCCAAGGGCCTCCCGGAGGTGAACATCTGGCCGGGTGCGTGTCCCCTTGCCCACGTAGAAAATGGCTCGGACAAAAGTCTGAAGGCGCTCAGCCGGGGTCAGTGAGAAGGCTCGAGCTGGCAGGTCTTGTGTTTCCCTCGGGAACAAAGGGGCAAGTCAGAGAGCAGAAAGTGACGGGTCCCCTAAGTCAGCAACCCAAATCCACACACGCCATCACACTGTCCCTCAGCTCTTCAGCTCAAGGTGAACACTTTACCACTTGAGCCACAGCACCACTTATGATTTTCTGGAGATAAGAGTCTCACAGACTTTTCTGCCCTGTCTGGCTTTGAACTTTGGTCCTCAGATCTCAGCCTCCTGAGTAGCTAGGATGACAGGTGTGAGCCACGGGCGCCTGGCTCCATGACCCTATTTTGTAACCACAGAATGGAGGTTCTCCCCAAGAATACTCAGCCTTTTGAGCTGGGTCCAGTGCTTTTTATAAAGAAGCAGACGCTAGGTGTCGGTGGCTCCCGCCTGTCATCCTAGCTACTCAGGAGGCTGAGACCTCAGGGTCGTGGTTCAAAGCCAGTCCCGGCAGGAAAGTCCCTGAGGCTCTTATCTCCAATTAACCACCAGAAAACTGGAAGTGGAGCTGTGCCTCAAGTGGTAGAGCGTTTGCCTTGACCTGAAGAGCTGAGGGACAGCGCCCAGGCCCTGAGTTCAAGACCCACAACTGATCCCCCCCCACAACAAGAAGAAGCTGATCTTTAGAGAGGGCCACCCTTTTACCTAAGGGCACAGAGCAAATAAGCCTCAATTTTTTTTCCTGTGGTACTAGAGGTGAATTTCAGGACCTTAGGCACACCCCAAGCTCCAAATTTTCTACCTCTTACTTCCAGGTCTTTATCACCCCTTGCTCCCAATACCTGGGGTCCAGCAGCAGATATATGAAGCTGGACTTCGCAGTCCCCTCCCGCCACCTCTTTGTGGGATTAGGCCGTCCAAATTGCTGGGCAAGGCAGTCTTCATCTGCCTGGGAGTCTGGGACACAGCCTGTTCGTAGGGCCTCAGCCAGCTCTGGGCTGTGTCCTGAAAATTCTGGGCCTGGGAGGGAGACAGTCAACTGTGATGCACAAGAAAGGCGGACTGAGGGCTAGAGGGCGTGTGTGCGTGTGCGTGCAAGTGTGTGTGTGTGTATCTGGGAATCCTGGAGGGCGTGTGCATGTATGTGTGTGTGTATACATGTGTGTGTCTGGGGATCCTGGGAGTTCCCAGGATGCCCAAAAGGAACGAACCAGAAGCAGCGTAGGCTTCTTCCAGACGGCGGAGATAGTGTGGCCGGGTGAAGGGTGTGATGGGGCCAGGACTGGTGCCCAGGGCTCGGAGTGCCCGCAGCAGCTCCAGGTCTGACATGGCAGAGACAGGCTGAGACTGGAAAGAAAGGACAGAGTCCCCGGCCCCAGAGGCCCCCTCCTCATCTTCTGTCAGCCACAGGGCTGCCACATCATTATCAAAGGATGTCTGGAAGTGGGGGGAGGCAGGCAGTGGTCCTTGAGGGGGGCTGTGCACTGGGCTCCCATCAGGCAGGGCTGGAGAGCAGAGGGGAGGCTGGCCAGCTGCGTCCTCTGGGGAGGTGAGGGTCAGAGCCTGGAGATGGGCACCCAGCTCTGTCTCCTGTCCGGCTGACCACAGTGGGCGACCTGCAGAGTCTGTGTCCCCCCGAGGAGGAGGCACACCCAGTGCCCCCTGCGAGGTCTGGGTCAGTGACCCGACCCCACGGGCGGTTCTGTCTTGGTCTGGGTCCTCCACTGCGGTGACAAAAGAGGCATCGGAGCTGCAGTCCCAGCCCACGGGTGAGGTGTCCGGGCTGTGCGCCTCGCCCAGGGGGGTCGGGAGAGCTGTGGAGACCAGCGAGACACGAGGGCCTGAGACGCGGGAGCCTGAGGGGGGGG